TGGATGCTGGGAGGTAGAGGCAGATTTTCTTTTCTCTTGTTTTCTTCCCCCCAAAAAGGCAGGTGCGTCTTACCATCCCGAGTGTCTTATACTCCGAAAACTATGGTATTTGCCTTCTGAGAAAAGACTTATTTTATCCTGGCCATACTCCAAAAAAACCTTTTTTGTCCCAATGTCCAGAGAATGCCATTTGGGAACAGTGCGTCCATTTATCGTTGTGACTGCAGATTGTAACAAAGATACATAGGATTAAAAAAAATAACAACGCCGAAATTAGCAAACGATAATAAGTAACAACAAACAAAAGAAAAAGCATCCAAAAGAATTGAGCGGATGGAACCGGTGTTAAAACGGATTGCTTAAGAATGATTTCTAAGTTTAAAAAGAAAGCATGATCAAGACCTCCTAAGCTGGAATTGCATCCACAAGGAGGTAGTTTATCCGTTCAACCTTTGACCTCATAGGGATTGTTGCTCATCGTGATTTTAGCTTAGCTAGAGCTGTAGAAGGGATGATGGACGAGACCGTGTAGTCACGGCCCAAACCATAAGGATGAAAGCCCTCTGGTCCAACGGACGTTTGCAAAATCTCCCTTCAAGCATGCCGTGGCATCGTCTGAAAGCAGAGAGAAATGTCAAATCCTTTCCCTGAGGAAACCTTGGTGATACTGGACCAGACACTGAGATAGGCATTCATGTTTCTTATAGTGGTGGCACCAGGATGAAAACTCGGTAGGTTTGTCCCATCATAGCATCTCTGCAGGCATCTTATTTGTACCGTATGACTATCATTAAGTGTTGTCCCTTATGATTCTTGACTAATGTATCTTGTCTTTTTATGTACACTGAGAGCGTATGCACCAAAGACAAATTCCTTGTGTGTCCAATCACACTTGGCCAATAAAGAATTCTATTCTATTCTATTCTGCTCTATTCTGTTCTGCTCTATTCTATTCTGCTCTACTCTACTCTACTCTACTCTACTCTACTCTACTCTACTCTAATTCTGTTCTGTTCTGTTCTGTTCTGTTCTGTTCTTTTCTAGTTCTTTTCTATTCTATTCTAGTTCTGTTCTATTCTGTTTCATTTCTGTTCCATTTCTGTTCCAATTCTATTCTGTTCTGTTCTTGTTCTTGTTCTGTTCTATTTCTATTCTATTCTATTCTGTTCTATTTCTCTTCTCTTCTCTTCTATTCTTTTCTAGTTCTTTTCTGTTGTATTCTATTCTATTCTGTTCTACTTCTGTTCTGTTCTGTTCTATTCTATTCTATTCTAGTTCTTTTCTTTTCTATTCTAGTTCTATTCTGTTCTAGTTCTATTTCTGTTCTGTTCTGTTCTGTTCTGTTCTATTCTAGTTCTGTCCTGTCTTGTCCTGTCCTGTCCTGTCCTATCCTATCCTATTTGTAAAGTTTGCCTCTTGTTTTCACTGTTCTGAGGATTACGTTCTCCTAAACGAGGCAGGGATATTACACTCATAGAATAGGACTTTGGTCCATCGCTTCCCACTCTTACAATACAAGAAAGAGGCTTTGATTAAGGGAGGGTTAGGACTGTGTCCAACTGGACGATGGCTTTCTCACCCCCCCCCCCCCCCCCCCCACCATCGCCCACTCCCTCTGTGGCCCATAAAAGTTGAGAATCTCTGCCCTGCGGCCTTACTCGATGATCCCTTAACGGCTGATGGTCCATAAACGTCGTTGCTTCTCAAGCCAACGAGCGTTAAACTTTTAAGTTTAATGAAGCCGTACAAACGGGGGGGGGGAGATTTTTTTTGGGTTTTGTTTTGTTTGAAAGTTCGCGTCCTCCTGCCAAGTCTTGAGTAAGCATTTTGGTCTCTCGGCCTTCCCCTCCTTCGGCTGCAAAAAAAAAAAAGAAAAGAAAAGAACGAGGGCCCATCCAAAAGTTCCAGGAGGAGCCGGTGATTAACAACGGAAGCAAAGTCGCTTTTGATAACGCTGGCACATCTCCGTATCTGCTTTATTCGGACATCTCTCTGGTTCAGCACTTTTTTTTTTCTCCCCCCTCTCCTCCTCCCTCCCCGCAGGTTATTAATTTGTACTGTTTATCCTTCTGCCTTTTGTTGCAAGCGGTACCCATTGCCGCTTAAATGTGCAATTTCCCCGTCGCTGGCATTTCCAGCGAGGCAGATCAACGAGGGGGGGGGGGGCAATAAACAAGATCAAAGAGGCGCTTTACGCGTGGCGTGGAAGGTGGGCTGGTTGGATTCATATTATTTTATGATTTGAAATGATGGCAGGCTAAACTTTATAAAGAGACGGCGTTCTCTCTTTCCACTCTCTCCCCCACCCCTCCTTCACCCCCGTCGTCTTTTTCTCTCTCTCTTCGTTTCCAAGTATGCTGGGAGACTTGGTCAAATTTCCCGTTAAAATTAAAAAAAGGAAAAAAAAAAGATAGAATTTCATCTCCCCCTCTCTCAAATTCATTTATCATGCTTTTTAAAAAGGTGTTTTCTCTACTTTACCTGATGTCTAAATTAGATTGGCTCTTATAATGCTGTTCCTTGCTATATTTCCCCCCCTGCTTTTTTTTTTTTTTTAAATGAATTAGTAATGACAGCGTACTCCATCATACCCTCTCTACAGCCACTTTAAGGGAGAAGCCGGGTGATCTAAACCTTTTAACCTATTAAAGTTGATTTCCCCCAATTGAATCAGACGCACCGCAGGTGTAATAGCTAATCATTTAAACTACACCTGCTATTATGTTTTTTTAAGCCATTATGCATGTTGGATAGATGATAATTCATGTTTATTGCATTGTCCGATGGATCAGTTTTGCCTACACAAGACTGATTAATGTATTTAAAGAAATAAGAGATGCCATTTAAGATGGGGAGGGCGCGTGTGTTTTGTACATGCATACACAACATTGATGGAATGCATAAGGAGTACATCAAAAGAGCCATTAAAAGCCAACAAAACTTTCACTCTTTGACCTAAGATGCATCTCTGGAAAACCAGGTGAACTTTCCCTTGAGTTACGGCAATGCATCTGGGTTGAGTTTTCTCCCCCACCACAAAAAGTCTTCCAAGCCCATCTTTCGTAGAAGGTTATACAAGACAGGGCCCAGAATTGGAAGTCAAAGGCCGATCTGCAGTCAGGATGATGATCAGAGGCCATCATGGTTTCAGTTGGCTTTCTAGGAAATGACAATAAGGTAAAGGTTCCCCTTGCACATATGTGCTAGTTGTTCCCGCATCTAGGGGGCGGCGCTCCTCTCCGTTTCAAAGCCGAAGAGCCAGCGCTGTCCGAAGACGTCTCCATGGTCATGTGGCCAGCATGACTCAACGCCAAAGGCACACGGAATGCTCTTACCTTCCCACCAAAGGTGGTCCCTATTTTTTCTACTTGCATTTTTTTTTTTTACGTGCTTTCAAACTGCTAGGTTGGCAGAAGCTGGGACAAGTCACGGGAGCTCACCCCCGTTATATGCGGCACTTGGGATTCGAACCGCTGAACTGCCGACCTCACCGCGGAAGACACCATACCAACCCCTGAAGGGCTTGAAAGCTGCCATTTGCTAAAACATACTTTCCATGCTGCTTTTGGGCTAAAAAAAAAAAAAAAGCAAACACATACTAATCAACAAAACGACTTTAGGCCATTTTTATCCCTTGCGATTTGGGATAATAGGTGTTTTAATTCAGTGTGCCGGAAGGAAGCCAGATTGAGGAAAAAGTGTTTTCTGAGGGATCAAAACAGGGATTGGGCCAGCTTTGCTCTTCAAAGCAAATGGCATTCCGTGTTCTGCAGTGGTTCCCTAGGTTTATATTTTTTTGCAGAAGGGGAAAAAAAACAAAAAACAGATCACAAACTCCTGCAGAGTATTAGATCACAGTGCAGAATGATTTTTTTTAAAAAATTTGATTTATATGCCGCCCTTCTCCGGAGACTCAGGGCGGCTTACAATGCGTTAAGCAATAGCCTTCATTCTTTTGTATATTTATACAAAGTCAGCTTATTGCCCCCACAAACTGGGTCCTCAATTTACCTACCTTAGAAAGGATGGAAGGCTGAGTCAACCTTGAGCCTTGGCGACATTCGAACCTGCAGTAATTGCAGGCAGCTGGTCTTATTAACAGGGTGCTTTAGACCACTGTACTACCAAGGCTCTTTTTGATTGAAATCTTAGAAAGTTGAAATAAAGATCAAATGTTGCCTTCCTTTTTTTGCTCCTGCCTTTACTTACCTTACTCTCCTTTTTGTTGTTTTAAGACAAGTGTCGGCAACCTGAAACACCCAAAGAGCCACAAAGGTCCTAACCGGAAGCTCCCGTTCAATTCTGGAGCCAACCGGAAGTCTGGTTCCCCCATCATAGAGTCTCCTCCTAACACAGTTTCCTTTTTCCTCTGCTGACCGGAAGTCCGGTTCCCTCACCATAGAGTCTCCTCCTAGCAGGGCATCCTTTTTCCTCTACCTGTCCTAACCGAAAGCCCTATTAATTGTGGAGCCGACCAGCAACAGGGAACCGCAGCAGAGGGATGAAAGGGCCCCATGCGGCTCCAGAGCCGCAGGTTGCTGACCCCTGTTTTTAAGAAATAACAGCTTAACCACACACACCTGAGCCTTTTTGGAATTGTTAAATACCCATTTCTAGGTTGTTACGTCTTTAGTAGCCAACAAATTGCTCTCTTATTCTTTGTAAAGTACCATCCTACAGTAAGTATTGTTGCTTCGCGTCACTCCTTCATTTCCTCTTTCCTTGACTGTTTATATTCATGTTCTTCCAAGCTTCAAAAAGCTGGCACCGTTTGATTGATCTTGAAATGAGCATCTCTGCGGCAGAGCACAAAAAGTGACCTTTTGGAACTCTCTGATATAGATCTGCCTCAGAGTTAAATTACCGATGTACTTAAATTTACTGGTAACCGGGTATTTGTAGTAAAAAAAAAACCGTTGATAGCGCGGTTGGGTAGGAATCTGAATCCTGATGAATCCCGTTTTAAATTTCCCTTTTTCTTTTCTCCACCTTTTTGCCAGATTGCCACAGCTGTGAAGTTTTTACAAAACCCTCGCGTTCGCCAAAGCTCGCTTGCAAATAGAAGAACATTTCTGAAGAAAAAAGGTATTGCAATATACAATCTGAAAAGTTAATTCTCCATCTGGGTTTTTTCCTTCCTTCCTTTCCTTCTCTTCCTTGCTTGCCTCCTTCCTTCCTTCTTTCCTTCCCTTCTTTCCTTCCTTCCTTCCTTTCTTTTCCTTCCCTTGCTTGCTTGCCTCCTTCCTTCCTTCTTTCTTTCCTTCCTTCCTTTCCTTCCTTGCTTGCTTGCTTGCTTCCTTTCTTCCTTCCTTCCTTGCTTCCTCCCTTCCTTCGTTCCTTTCCTTCCCTTCCCTTCCTTGCTTACTTGCTTCCTTCCTTCCTTCTTTCCTTCCTTCTTTCCTTCCCTTCTTTCCTTCCTTCCTTCCTTCCTTTCCTTCCCTTGCTTGCTTGCCTCCTTCCTTCCCTTCTTTCCTTCCCTTCTTTCCTTGCTTCCTTCCTTCCTTTCCTTCCTTGCTTGCTTGCCTCCTTCCTTCCTTCTTTCCTTCCCTTCTTTCCTTCCCTTCTTTCCTTCCTTCCTTCCTTCCTTCCTTCCTTTCCTTGCTTGCTTGCTTCCTTTCTTCCTTCCTTCCTTGCTTCCTCCCTTCCTTCGTTCCTTCCCTTCCCTTCCCTTCCTTGCTTGCTTGCTTCCTCCCTTTTCTTTCCTTCTTTTCTTCCTTCCTTTCCTTTCCTTCTTCCCTTCCCTTCCTTCCTTCCTTCCTTCCTTCTTCAGCTTTTTTTTTTCTTGTGAATTGTCACATTGGCTCTCTCTCCCCCCCCCCCCTTCCCTTCTGCTGTCCTCTTGAACTCTGAAAGATTTTAAAAAGCACAGGAACATTTACCGATCCTTAGGCGAGCAGGGCGAAAGCCAGTGAGACGAGACCCATTCAAATGGCTTGCGTTGCAAACTTCTGAACTGCTCAGCTTCTTTGAGAAGATGGAAGGATTTCCTTTGGTTGGTTCTAAGCCATTCACGGTATTCACTATAGACCGGCCAGATGAAACGGTCAAGGAACTTCAGAAGAGGAGTGAAGCCATTTGGTAAAAAAAGGCCGGCTGCAAGATAGACAGCAGTCAGGCCGGGGTTAAATTTGAGGTCACTCTGCCTTTCACCATCAGAAAGGGCAAGCGATTGACGGCTGAGCTCCTTTTAAAAAGCAAAGGAGATCTACATCTCGATAAATTCGTCCTCGTTTCCAGCAAGTAGAAGTTGCACAGTTCACGGCTTTGCAACGTGTCTTTTGCCCATAAGGTTAAACGAATTGCCTTTTTAAAAAGAACAAAAAAAAAAAAAAAGTCCATCTAAAGTTTTAAAATCGTTAGCTCAAGAACCCAGAGGTGAGTTTTGTTTGGGGATTTAAAGAGTAGATCTTTAAATCTTATAAATCCTGGGTTTTACCTGTACTGTTGCAAAAAAGCAGTTTCTGTACGGACTGGTAGAGTTGAATATTTCTGTTTTTCTTTAAAAAAAACCCACCCCCTCAATGTAGAATGTTTGAACATGTTTGAAAAGAAAAATTCCCTTGCCAGACTGAGATGCTCTGAGATGCTAGTTTCCTTTGTGAAAGGGTGTGTTATTCACACTTAACCTGCACCGCTATAATTGTGACCAGTCCACAAATACTGGCATGGAAGCCCTGAGGTCATGTGACAATACTGGCAATATCTGAGAAAGTACCATCCCGAGTTAAACTCACTTTTGAGATGGCTGAAGACCAGAATAGAATAGAATAGAATAGAATAGAATAGAATAGAATAGAATAGAATAGAATAGAATTAGTAGAGCCTTGGTGGCGCAGCAGACTAAAGTGCTGTTAAGTAGCACCAGCTGCCTGCAATTACTGCAAGTTCAAATCTCACCAGGCTCAAGGTTGACTCAGCCTTCCATCCTTCCGAGGTAGGTAAAATGAGGACCCGGATTGTGGGGGCAATAAGATGACTTATTATAAAAAAGAACACCACTTAAGGGGGGTGCTGTATAAAAAAGAACACCGCTTAAGGGGGGGCCGAAAGCCCTACTAAGCAGGTATATACAAAAGTATGAAGGCTATTGCTTAACGCATTGTAAGCCACCCTGAGTCTCCGGAGAAAGGGCAGCATATAAATCAAACCAGTAAGTAAGTAAGTAAGTAAATAAATAGAATAAGGATTAGGATTAGGAATAGGAATAGGAATAGGAATAGAAATAGAAATAGAAATAGAAATAGAAATAGAAATAGAAATAGCAATTCACTTCACTTTTGGCCAAGTGTGATTGGACACACAAGGAATTTGTCTTTGGTGCATACGCTCTCAGTGTACATAAAAGACAAGATACGTTCGTCAAGAATCATAAGGTACAACACTTAATGATAGTCATAGGGAACAAATAAGCAATCGAATCATACTAGGAAACAGTCAATATAAATCGTTAAGGATACCAGCAACAAGGTTACAGTCATGCAGTCGTAAGTGGGAGGAGATGGGTGGTGGGAACGATGAGAAGATGAATAGTAGTGCAGACTTAGTGAATAGTTTGACAGTGTTGAGGGAATTATTTGTTGAGCAGAGTGATGGCGTTCGGGGAAAAAACTGTCCTTGTGTCTAGTTGTTCTGGTGTGCAGTGCTCTATAGCGTCGTTTTGAGGGTAGGAGTTGAAACAGTTGATGTCCAGGATGCGAGGGGTCTGCAGATATTTTCCCAGCCCTCTTTTTGACTCGTGAACATCTCCATCTCCCTTAATCCTTTCTTCAGCCTACAGATACCCAGTTCTTTCAAACGTTCTTCAGAAAAACAGAGATTCTAGATCCCTCAAGTTCCAAGATCGCTCCGTTCTGTGCCATTTACATTCTTGTTAGGATGTGACAGCTAGCACTGCAGTCTGACCAGCACACATACCAAAGAATTTGCATGGTGCGGGCCTCACACCGCTCTCAACATCGCCCAATTTTTGCATTGCGTTCTCAACAAAGGTTGTGCTTTGTGGAGCAACAGCCTTGGGGTGGGGGTGGGGACTCATCCATAGGGAAAAGTTTTTTTAATGAACTCACGTTTCTCCATCTAAGAGGATCCGCAGAGCCCAGATCTCCAGGAAGACCATGCTGGGCTGGGGATCCTGGACATTGTAATCCTTGCTAGATGAACAGAGGCAAGTTAATTTTTTTTTTTTTAATGAGAAACTAATCGATTAAATGATAGTAATTGGTAGGTAGAGGGCAAACTTTGGATTTGTGTGTATGTGTGTTAAGCACAAATTGCGCTTAACAATTTGTGTGAAATTCTCCCCTCGGCCTTCAGCATCCTCTGCATTAACAAAAAATTAGGCCTTTGAAACTCTTCGCTTTTCAGATCTGCTTTCTTGCCATACAGCCTTCTCTCTCTCTCTCAGAATAAACATTTCTATTCTATTCTATTCTATTCTATTCTATTCTATTCTATTCTATTCTATTCTATTCTATTCTATTCTATTCTATTCTATTCTATTCTATTCTATTCTATTCTACCCTACCCTACCCTACCCTACCCTACCCTACCCTATTCCTATTCCTATTCCTATTCCTTTTCTTCTCTTCTCTTCTCTTCTCTTCTCTTCTCTTCCCTTCCCTTCCCTTCCCTTCCCTTCCCTTCCCTTCCCTTCCCTTCCCTCCCTTTTCTTTTCTTTTCTTTTCTTTTCTTTTCTTTTCTTTTCTTTTCTTTTCTTTTCTTGTGTGAAATTCTCCTCTCAGCCTTCAGCATCCTCTGCATTAACAAAAATTAGGCCTTTGAAACTCTTCGCTTTTCAGATCTGCTTTCTTGCCATGCAGCCTTCTCTTTCTCTCTCTCTTTCTCGCTCTCTCTTTTTTTTTCCTTTGAAATATGTGGATCTACGGGGAGTAATTAATCATAAACGCTTTGGGATTTCTACAACGAAGCAATGAAGCAGAGGAAAGCTGAACCTAAAAGCTATACTGATTGCCTACGGTAACCTGATGCAAAATCTATACTTACCAAGAGATCCTTTGACACTCCCTTTCTCTCCCCCCCCATTCCCCCCCTCCATCCGACGCTGGAATCATATGCCCTATTATAAAACTATCTTTACATCTCATCAAAATGACCCGTTATTATTCCTTACGTTTCATTCCTCCGTTCCCCTCCGTGTTTTCTCTATCAGCATGGATGGGGCTAAGATTTCATCAGCCAAAGGTATTTAAAAGCAGTTCAGAGACAAAAGTCTCCGAGATTTACGTCACGTTCCCCTGCCATCAGCTTCATGGACTGTTTGTGCGTGTGTTTAAAAGAAAAAAAAAAAATCTGAGCTCCGTGTAATCTGTTTTTGAAGCGGTATTAGTACCGCTTTATAAAGCTTTAGTAAGGTTGATGCTGCGTCCAGATTTGGTCACCATAATATATAAAAAAAGATGTTGAGACTTTTGGAAAAAAGGGAGGAGAAGAGCAACTAAGATGATCAAAGGCCTGGAGACTAAAACATACAAAGGACGGTGGCAGGAATTGGGTCTGGCCAATCTAGAGAAAAGAGGTGACATGATAGCAATATTCCAGAATATTGGGGGGTCAGAAGTGGGGAGGGGTCAACCTATTTTCCAAAGCAGAGAAAGCAAGACAAGAAACAACGGATGGGAACTAACCAAGGAGAGAAGCAACCTGGAATTATGGAAAAACTTTCTAACAGTGACCAGTGGAACAGCTTGCCACCAGAAGTTGTGAGTGCTCCATCACCAGAGGCTTTTTAAGAAGAGACTGGACAGCCACCTGTCCAGGGGGTTGGACTAGAAGACCTCCAAAGTCCCTTCCAGCTCTATTCCGATTGATGGTTTAGTTTTAATAAATCTCTGACTGGGAGGAGTGGACTTAGTGGGAGAGAGACCGGTCGGCATTGAAAAGAAACCAGAGACCCAATTAAAGTGTCTAATGAATGACTGGACTAATGACAATCAAAGAAAGAAAAGAAGCGGGGGGGAAGCTACCGTAATCCCATTTGATGCATTCCTCTCCCCCTTTGTTTCGGCTGCCCTTTGGGCTAATTCAGGGGTCGGCAACCTTAAACACTCAAAAAGCCATTTGGACCC